AACATTCATGACTACTTAGAAAATGGATATTTGAGTATTGGATAAACTCGCACTCAGAGAACTACTTCATGGATTATATCATGAGTAATTCTGAGACGATAATATCTTATATTCTTAAAATGGATATATATATATATATATATATATATATATATATATATATATATATATATATATATATATATATATATATATATGAGTCGTAATTTACAAATCTGTTGTACATTGGTATTGAGAAAATGTGTAACATCTATAAAATTTGTAAAAAATTTAAACTTTTTCAAACATCCAAAAACCACCATTTATTACAAATTGTTTTCAAAATAGTTTGTCAAAAGAGTAATCCCAGAAATCATAACATAAAATACGAGGATATGCATGATCAAGCCTTCACCTTCATGCGATCATCTGAAAGTAGCTAAAACAAAATCCATAACTGTAAGCCCAAAGCTTAGTGAGTTCCCCCAGAATACCAATACAATAAGAACACACATATAATAACAGCATATTATGGTCCAATCAACCATCAGTTTAGGATGCCAACATGTTATAGGTCCAGTCAACATTCAGGTTGGAATACCCCCGACCCTCAACCATCGGGTTGGAATGTCAACATGCAATGGGTCCAATCATCCTCGGGATGGAATACCCTCAGCCCACAACCACCTGGTTGGAATTCCCCGGCTTGTTGGCTTACGCACAAAGCAGAGAAGCCTCAGCCACCACTCAAATATATGCACATATAACAGATAATCATATAATAGTCTACAAACAATCAGACAGATCTAACAGGCCACTCAGCATAGCATCATCCTATCTACTAGAATACCAATCTAACAAGTCATAACAGTATAGCAACACGCATAACAAAATATCAATCCATTGGGCCGACATTGGTGCCTTCAATCTGCAAGTATAGTGAGGAAAACTTACCTGTCAAGTAGTGCTGAACCGGTAAAATCCAACTCCAAGAATCATCTATGGACTCAATAGCCTTCAACCACCATATAACCATTCTATCAAAACCTCTGAATACCCAAAATGCTCTCAAAGTCAAAGTTGGTCAACCATGGTCGAAGTCAAAGTCAACAGTCAAGGTCAACAATCCATGTTGACCTAACTCGTCGAGTGCATCTATCGACTCGTCGAGTTCCTTCAGTACTTCAGAAAACAAGAAAAACCCAAACTAACTCGTCAAGTTTCTACAGTATCCAGAAAACGGGAAGTCCCGATTCAACACGCCGAGTTGACTAGGCAACTCGTCGAGTTTCTCCTAGTCTTAAAGAATTCAGCCAATTCCCAAGAGGATATAGTGCAACAAACCATAGATCTGGTCCCTTAGAGCTGAAATACCACGTAAAGTTGCTAACTTTAAGTCCATGCATGACATCAAGAGGCTAAAACACTAAAATCAAGCTTATTAAGGGACTTACAACATAAAGGAGGGCCAAGACTTGATAAAGTCGGTGACTTTAAGTCCATGGAGGCCATGAGATGCCCAGATCTGAAGTCATAGCTTCATAACATGCTCAAATCCCAGAATGGTCCCAAAATGGGTTAATAATGGCCTGAAACTTTCAAATGAAGAGATCTAGCAAATGGATGGTCAAGGTATCGACTTTATACCTTAGAATGACTGCAACAACAATGAAAATCCTAGATCTAAATCCTTCCTGTGAATCAATCCACTTCAAGCTTCAAGTTTTTTCCAAAAGAGCACCAAAAATCACACTCTTATCTCACACACACTCTAAAAGAGAGATGATGCGCAAATTAGGGTCTCTTTGGACTGAGGGGACGATAAGGGAGGCCAACAATGAGTCATAAGTTCTTTAAGTAGTGTGCAAAATCCTAAAAATTAGGGTTTCATAAGCAACTGTCAACTCGTTGAGTTGAGAGCTTCCAACACATCGAGTCTGAGGCCATCAACTCGACGATTTCCAAAGAAGAATTTGTCTTTTAAGCCATAAATCTCATACCTAAGAGTCGGGATGTTACAAATCTCCCCCACTTGAACTAGGCTTTGTCCTTGAAGCCTGTTGCGGTGAACAAATCTGGATAGTGCTCCCGCATCTCAGCCTTCGGCTCCCAGGTCCACTCAGATCCCTTCCGATGTTGCCATTGTACCTTTACCAAAGGTATCTCCTTTTCTGTAGATTCTTTACCTTCCTTTCCAGAACCACCACTGGCCTCAACATAATTTAGACACTCATCAACTTGAATGTCATCCAATGAAAACCACTCCATCCTCATCCAGCACACACTTCCGCAACTGTGAAACATGAAAAGTGCTATGAATCTGACTGAGCTCCTTCGGAAGATCCAATCTGTAAGCAACCTTGCTAACCCTGACAATAACCTAGAATGGTCCAATAACCCAACTTTCCCCTCTTCCTTAAGTGGATCACACCCTTCCAGGGTGAGACCTTTAGTAACACCATGTTATCGACCTGAAACTCCAACTCAGATCAGTGTTAGTCGACGTAAATCTTCTGCCGATTCTGAGCAGTCTGCAAACCGCTACCTGATCTGCTGAATCATCTCAGTAGTCTGCAGAACCACCTTAGTCTTATCTTTGTTAATTGTTGTTTTTGTCTTCTACAGTTGTTCATTGTTCAGCTCAACATATCCCAAAAGATGTGTTTGAGACGTATTTACAGGAGACTACCCCACAAAACACATAATAAAGTTACAGTTTAATGGCACATAATTGTATTAACTTCAGTAGTGAAATCACACAATTTTTAGTACGAAACAACATTCCAGACTAATTTCTTAATCTCCCAAATGAAGTCACAAGCATCTTTTGGGATCTTTTAAATAAGTTCCACATCTCTTCCGTTTATTCTATCATCACTTTGATATGAAGAGAATAGTCTTATACAATCTTGAATTTGGAAATACAAAAGATGAATTTCAACATATGTTTCTTGAAATAGTTCAAAAAAGGTATAATGAGATAATTACTATAGAAAATAGTTAAGTGGCTGAATCCATATGGAAGTAAAAGTATTTTTTTGTAGTTTGTCCCTGTCTCTAACATGCATTATAGTGGCTCTGTTAAGTCCCATACTCCCATTATGTGCATTGGGCCTGTCTACATAATCATTTACGAATTTTTTTAGTAAATAGAAACTTCGGAAACCCTCTCTAACCATACAAGAAATAATCAAACCTTAGTCATCTTATAGCTGAATATTTTTTGAAAAGTTCAAAAATCTTCTTTGCCAATGCATGACAAATGTCTTTTAAGGTATTATCAAGAGTCTCAATTCTTAAGCATTTCTTTGTTTCTAAAATGTGTTCAATCATGCAATTTTGAGCGATTCTGCCAATTGGGAAACATAACACAACTTGATTCAGATAAGCTATTCAAAAGGAAAGGAAATAATATTAGTTACCTGGGGTTTTTAAACAGTTTGTTTTTTGGTTAAATTGGGAGTTTGATCCCCTGAAAATTTTCAGTAAGTGTATCAACTCAAAAATTGTCCTTTTTAGTAGAAAGTAGTTGTTTGTATAAGACACATCAATTTGGAAGGATTGAGATGGAGAGTCTTTGATCCTAAATTAAAGGCCAGGTTTGTCTTTTAAGTATGTTGATTTTACAATCTCATTAAGAAATTATGGAAAATAATAGTAGCTAAAAATATCTAATCCATACAATACATGTCCTAGGGTGATTAACATCAAAAATATCAACGGTTGTTCAAGGAAAAGACAGGTCCTAGTGTGATTTACTCAAATCAATATGTGTATTTCAATTATTAATCGTGTCCAAATGATCTTAATTTGAAATATTTTCGTGGATTTTGACAGTGTTTCCTGGACGTCTCTACTATGTTTCAAAATGTACATTTGTTTAAGAGGTGTGGTGATCTATTTCATGATGTTGATGGGTTTGTGATCAGATTTTTTTCACCTCCTTCATTTCAAGATTGTTCTTTTTATCTTGTGTCCTAGCTTCGTCTATGATATTGATTATAAAGTTGTCTAGGTTAAGAAACCCTTTTTATGTGAGACACTTTGTTAGTTACTGAAGCAAAAATGATTGGTCTCTCGAGGCAAATATGATTGGGGAAGAAAGCTATCAAGGCATTGTACTTCTATAAATATAACCATATTTATCAATTTTTTCTTCATTGTACGTTATATTTTGAAAAGTCTATTAATATATAGTCTTTACACATACATTGCTACAATTTCATATATTTTTTTAGAATACAATGTTGTAAACAGAAAATTCTATAATAAACAAATTAATTAAATTAAGTTGGAATTTTGGAACTTAATCATCAAAATTGGAACCTTGAGGTTCAATTTTGTGTGAATAAACTTTAGAAACACGAAAAAGAATAAGATTTATCATTGCTTCTCTCTAACATTATCTTTTGTGCTTCATGTAATATAAAAATATTAATTTTGACCATGTTTTTTCAATAAGTTTGCAATGTATATCAGTCTTTTTTTATATTTCTCAGACTTCAGAAATTCAATTTGACTTGAAAGGTGGAACATGGAAAGAAGCTTTTATGCAATACCCAAGATGAAAGTTCAAGGAACTCCAAATAAAATGCTAATCCACACGTCAAATCTCCTACAATTGAAGGGTTAAAACAGGAAATAAAAATTGTTTTACTTCAGTCATAGCTGAGAGGCATTTATGTTTTTTTTTTGTTTATCAAGTTGTATTTATTGTTTGTGTAGTGGAGTGTAGTTACATTTTTTATATTATAGTAGATTGTAATCCATTTGAGACCATTGGCTAACCAGCAACACAAACTTAAATCCAAACTCTCGGATCTATGCATAAATAAATAAAAGGTTATGCTCCTTACCAAAATGTCCCAACAATCCTTTTTAAATACTTAAATACTTGACAAATACTTATTTGTAATATATATTATTTACTTAATTAATGGTTAGAGACCTGAGAATATATCTTTTATTGCTCTTAGTAATTAATTGTAATTTTGCAAGATAACAACAATTTTGAAATATGTATATTGTAGTTGGAAGGGTTAGAACTCATAACTTTATGAAAATATATCTTCATATAATTCGCAAGATAACAACATTTATATAAGCATTTTTTTTATAAAAAAAAATTGTGTAATCACTATATGATTCACTTTTCTTCAGTAAAGTCGGTCGCTGCTTTGCTTGCCTTCTCAACAAACCCTTTAATTGCGTCACTTGTATTAGCTTCTACTTCTTCTTTCTTCTCAATCAGTTTCTCAGCAAGGTCTTTTGCGTTTGTATTTGTACTCTCAACAACTTTCTTAATATCTTCATTTGCTGTAGATGTCACAGTATCTTTCTTCTCATCAAGTTTCTCAATAACATCAGTTGTGTTTGCGCCTATCTCTTTAGCACGTTTCTCAATAGCGTCACTTGCGTCGCTAATCGACGTGTCTTTCTAAATAATAAAAATATGTAAACCAATTAGAAAGCAAATATATGATGTATCAATATTACGTCAGTTTGTAAAGCTTTGTGCAACTGACATTAAATATGATGTACCATTGTACAAATATATGTTTGTAAACTTTATTTTATAACAAAGTTTCTAATTTTTTTTACACTTGTTTATTATTTAACTTGAGTTTCTTAATAACCTTAATTGCTTCCTTTATTTTTCAAAAATATAACCAAACATGACAAAAGAAACATATCCCAATTGAGTCTCAACAATTTCATGAACTTTATGCTTTGGCTTTGCCTAGCTACCCAATTATATGATGTAGAAATATTACTTAGTCAAACATAAATACACACAAATATGAATAGGTGAATTTTTAAATAAATAAAATAGAAAAGGAATTTACTAAGCAAGAGGTCTGAAAGCGGGATGTTCTTAGGCAAGGGAAATCGGTTGTGGCCCGACCCACATGGACCAACTTCGGTGTCGAGATTTTCCCTGCCATCTGTAAAAGGAAAAAAAATATATGAGTAAGTTAGAGGTGCCAATTTCTAATTATTCTACTTTTGATTGAATTATTTGAGTTGTATCGACATAAAAAGAGCTCATGTAGTCAAAAGATATATATATATATATATATATATATATATATATATATATATATATATATATATATATATATATATATATATACACAGAGACAGAGAGAAAGAGCAAAAAAAAAATAATAAATATATCTTAAATCGTTTTATTAAAAATAATGCTATTTCAAAAATATAGTTTTGGTACTTATATTTAATATGTTAAATCAACGACATTAGTGGTGCATAAATGGGGTATAAGTGGTCTTTCATGGAAATTTGTATAGGTCTTCAAGTAATTCTATTAAAACGTAATCAGAAAGTACATCTAAAAGAAGTGCGATCTATCTGGTTAATTACTATTTGTAATATCTTGAGCCCAACGTAATATATCAATTAACATAATAACCTGTAAATCAGATTAAAATCATGGCAAAAAAATCCTTACAATCTCAAGGATTAGATATTTGGCCCCTAAAATAGCAACATCTATACCGTGTTGTATAACACTCAACTTCTGTGACAAGTTGTACTTTTAAACTAGAATATTGAATTCTTAGTGTTATACAAGCATGATTTTAAGTTGATTTAAGAATTACTATTAAGCTACACTGGTATTTTGGATAAAATGTCACATTTAATCTGTTTACTACATTTTTTGGAATATGAATAAGAAACGTACATTATTAATGCAAATAATGGTAAATAAAACAAGATGTAAATTATAATTCTGGAATGTCATAATAAAAAAAAAGTTAAAGGCCTGACCTGATTGGTGTTCATGGAAGTCGTCAATCTAACACAAGTCATTGGAAAAGCAGCCATTGAGATTTAAGAGGTGAAGGACAGCGGGAGTGTGTCTGTATGTGTGGGTGAAGATTGAAGGAGGAGAAGTTTCGATGGTTGTTTTATGGGGGAATCATGAGATTAATAAATAGGGTGGCTTTTACAAAGGATTCACGTTACGATGTCGTAATGGTCCTTTGGGTTAATGCATGTCGATTGCATGGATGAGTGGTGTACATTGGTGAAAGCATGTTGTCGATCAATGACTCATTTGAATCATGTCGACTGATGTTAAATTACATTAGTGGTCCTTGTGGTTTTCGTTAGTTTTCGTATCCATAACTCTTTTTTTTCCCTTTGGTTCATTAATGGTCCTTGTGGTCTTGGTATCCATAACTCTTTTTTCCTTTGGTTGGTCTCTAAAATTTGGTGGGCATTTCTAATCTACCATTCTGAAAAATACTCTTTTACCCTTATGAATTTCATTTTTATTATTTAATTGTCATTGTCATGATAAATTTATATGGTATATAACTATATACTATATAAAGTAGACTCACTCCAGAGACAACTTAATCAGTTTAGAGGCCCTAAGCGAATCAAAAATTTGAAGCCCGTTGACCTCTACTTTTAAGTGAAAGTAATAGCTTGAAAGTAGATTATCGATCTCAAGCCTAGCTAAATGCATATACATTCATTACATGTAATATGTGTGGAGCAACTTTGAGAAACATAAAGAAATACATACCCAAAACAAGAGAAGGTATTTCTTCAATAACCTTTTTGTTTTTGCTGTCACACTAACAAATCAAAACCTTAACATATACATATCTTATATTATATATAAATTTCAATTTAGATAATTATAATTATCTATTCAAATGAAGTCATTGAACTTTTATTTTGCACACGTGGGGAGACAAATAATATTATGCCCCCCTTTGCCTTAAAGTTCCTTCACACACAAATCTATGGTTTAAACTTTTATTTTTATTTTTTGTCTTAGTTTAAAGAACATTAATATAGTTTTTTATTTACTAAAAAATATATAGAAAAGAAATAGTAAATTGGAAGTGCCTGCTTGACACAATCAAGTACACAATCAAGTTTTGACAATGATAGCCTTGAAATTGAGAATAGAAGATAATGGAAAACTAAAATTCATTCCAGCCTTGATTCTATATTATATAGTCAATGAAATGGATAATTTTATAAATAAAATTAACCCTAAAAACGGCTATTAATCCTAATAGATAATCCGATAATTTATGAAAAACTCAATTACTCAAAATTGGAAAGTGGAAACATCGCATACACCGTTTCAGTTCTTGTCTTCTTGACAGCCTTGAAGTTTTGAGTCTTTTGAAGTTTGAACAATCAACAATGGAAAATCAGAGGACAGAGAAAGAATCAGATTGAGAAGCCTAATGTATTTTTTTTAAGAGAATGGACAATCAATCACAGAACGAAGAAGGAATAGAAGAAAAAGAAGTGAAGAACAATAGGTGTTATTCAGAATTAGTTTTCAAGAATCGATTATCTGAAAATGAGAAGGATGAAGAACTGCCGCTCACTCGTAAGAATTGAGACTTTCAATTTTTGCTGATGAGTTTTGTGGTCTGCATAATTATGAAAGGAGAAGAGAGAATCGAGATTTGCTTAAGTATTTTGTTTTAAGTAGGCCATGCCCTTTGAAATTAGGGGTCCTAAGCCCTAACTTAGTTATGAACAAGGTAAGGCCGACCCTGCTCCACCCTCCCGTTCTTTCAGTGTGATATCTCTTTCTCTTCTCCAATTTTAAAGCTCAATTAGTAACAGGTTTGACCTTGACACCATGAACCGATGAAAAGAGCGGGTCAAATATGACTTGTTTCTTTCATATATATATATTTTTTTTATTTAGAATGAACCGGTGGTGTTTTTCAAAAAACCGATTGAACCAGTGAACCAAAACTACTAAAAACCCTAGTTGATGAGGTAGAAAAAAAAATGATATCATATGGTATCAAATTTATCATATCACAATGAAGCTTTGTTGGAATACTAAGTCAAGTAGGACTTGGAGACCAAGTAAGAATGAGGTTTTAAGCAAGTCGGTTTTAGAATCATAATCTTGTTCTACAAGTTGGTAGAATGTAGATCTATATATACATTGTTTTTAGATCGAGTTATGATCATTGAGAGACATTGTAAACATTGTGAGTTTTGAGTGATTTTCTCATAATAATCAAAGAGTTATATATTTTGGTTAATTGTGTTTACATATTCTAAACTTGAATTGGTATTAGAGCACAGGTATCATCAGGTGAAACTCTTCATTCAACACTAACAAGGAATCATAAGGTTTCTGTCGACAGCTACTTGATTTCAATTGACAAAAGGTGTAAGATCGATACACCTGAATCCAATCCTCATATTTCGGTCAAACAACATCTGGTTAAGGTTTTTTGGTTGGAGTCGATTTGAGATTGCCAATCAAACAAGTATTCTTTGATCATTGCTCGTTTTTTAACATATAAACAAAGAGATCAAGAACAAGCGGTCAAAATGCTATTGTCAACAAAGAGGTCTGAATACGTTCTCGCCTTGATTGACTCATGATACCATCGACTGATAAGGATCACAAAATCATCAACTGATAAGGATCACGACTGATAAGGATCTCAGTAATCTACGCTTTTGTTCATCAAGTTCACAATCAGACGATTTCTTCCGGTCAACTGGAAAGTGTCGATCAAATTGTTATCCAGTGAATTCACGATTGATTTGCAATTGATTTTTAATCGTATTTATACTTAATCGTTTGTTTTTTGTGTTCAAGACATTAACAGTGTTCACAATGTGGACAGTAAAATCGTGAAAGTAACTTCCTAGTTTATCAACCTTCTCTGATTTCGAATTTTTCTTTTGATTTGATCAATCACCATGTCGGGTGAGTCCTCAAACTCGGCAACATCAAAGGAAATCGGAGCAACCTTCGTTCACAGCCCGATGTTGACAACTACAAATTACACAATTTGGGCTATAAGGATGAAGGTAGCGCTAAGGATTAACAAAGCTTGGGAAGTAATTGACCTGGGAACCACCGCAAATGTTGAGAAAAACAACTTAGCCATGGGTTTGCTATACTAATCAATTCCGGAGAGCTTGATCATTCAAATAAGTGATCAAGATACAGCCAAGAAGCTTTACGATTCATTCAAGGCAAGGCACATTGGAGCAGCACGTGTTCAAGAAGCCACTTGCAAACTCTCATGTTAGATTTTGATAGGCTTGAGATGTTGGTGTTGGGTTTTAGTTCAAGATAGTTTCAAAAACTACAAAATATGGCAAACGGAAGACTTAAAATTTTGAACTAACATAAATATTTTATACCCGCCAAGGGATCTTCTTGCAAGTTATAGAAAGATTTAAGCACCAACCAAAGAAAGGATGAAGATGTAACAACCTTTGTAGTTCTTTGGGTCCTCTTGGGAGGCTTGGAAGTTAATGAAGAATGTGGAACCTTTAAGCCACCAACAATGACTCAACTTGATGTAGATGCTAGTCCATAAACTCTTAATCCCTTAAGCTTTAAGTTCATAACCAATATGAACTTAAAGAGGGCATGAAGATGCAAGTACCTTCATGAAAGGAACAAAAGATGAGAGAGTCTCTACCCTCTCTTAGATGTTACAGTTTTTTTGAGAGTATAAATGAGCAACAAGAAGTGAAAGCCTCAAGCCTTTTATTTATAGTAGAAACAATCCCCTACCTTTTGAATAAACTATTCAAAAGACCATACTCTTATTTAAATAAATAAATAGCCATTCTCCCATTTAAATAATCAAAAACCCATACTCTTATTTAAATATTCAAAGAGTCATTCTCTCATTTAAATAATCAAAAAGACATATTCTTCCTTTTTTATTCTTATTTTTATAAAATAATAAAAGGAAGAAGGCAAAATCTTTATATTTTATAAACCAAGTTTATAAAATATAAACTTTAACTTTTTGGTAAAAGACAAAAGAATGTGTCTAGTCCAAATGTTGTGCATGACTTATTAATTCATACCATATGAATTATGTAATGTTACTTGCTAATGAAAATTATTATTTCCTAGAAATAAATAATTTCCAATTTAATTATAAGAGTTTTATTGAATATTTATTAAAATCAATTTCTAATAAATAATCAATTATATCAAGTTGTTGTTAGTGTGACCCATTAGTATCATATGTTAATTAGCAATATCAGTTTAATATGATTATTAAGCATACAAGACCTTTCAATCTCCCACTTGCGCAAGACTCATATTAGACTGATATAGACAGTGGTGAACGTCTAGCAACATTTCATTGTCCCCAACAACATACAACTTTATGCCATTCTATCAACACCCAATTCCCAAAAAACTCAAAGTTACAATTGGTGTATAAGGTAAGTTTATCAGTTATCCTTTTGTTACAAACATCATGTAGAACATGAGATATAGATCGTGATCAATCTCATTAGTTGTTCAACTTTTGGTAAGGCGCCTTAGATGTCTAACTCTCAACACATAATAGGAACAAATCTCATCTTGACTACATAAGCCTCTTGCATAGTTCACACCATACCTGAAAATGGCTTTTATAATTGTCTAGTTAAGGAACAACATTTGACCATATCAAAGCATTATACTCCCTACACTCAAGTCCCACTATGTATCTCAGGTGTTAAGGATACAAGGATAGTACCTTTTAATCAAGTATCATTTATGATAGTGATCCATGAGATGATCTTGATACGGGCCAGTTCAATACTAGTTCTCTGACGAGTACCTATGAAACTTGGTTACAACCACTTTGCCTACTATTATCTAGTGAGAGTCAACCAATCCAATTCACATTAGTTTTACTTCATAATTGCTCCCATAATTATAACCGACTATGAACTTTTAGAATAATAACATTATTTATAGATTAAACATGTTAATATAGAACATAACACTATTGCCAACTATTACTACATAAGGTTATGGTTCTTAAGTTGCTTCAAGTTCCATATACTTCCCACTTACTTGGTCATTAGAAGCTTACTTTCTACTAACTTAGATTTCACAAGAATAAGAGTACTTATTCTTGGTGGGTTTGCATATAATAATCTAAGCCACATTTAGAGTATTATACAAATATGTATTTACTAAATTTTGGATTTAGAAGCTTTAG